ATTAACTACTGCCCTGTTTTTGTTACAAAACTTCTACCTTTACAATTGTGACAGTCGCAGTTATTAAGTTATTCACTATTAACAATTATTAACACTATTAACAATTACTCACTATTGAATCATAAGAATCTTATCCCCATCTCTTTTTTACCAGACACATCTAGACAAGATGAAAACTAGTCAGTGGGGACTCTTTCTTCTCCCACACACTCTTAAACTAAACTCCCTCTCGAAACCTTGTAAGGCAGTCACTTGGTGCCTTTATCACCCCATCATTTTAGGTAGCCAGTGTCTAAGTTGTACTTGATGTGAAGACTCCTTCCCTTTCTGTTGGTATTTTGAGCTACTACATCCTTAAGTATAGGTCAAGTTCATCAAATTGTAACAATTTACCTAACAAATAGTTTTGAAGGAGGTAAATTCAACAAAAAAAGTTTTATTGTGAATTATTAGCTTTACATTCATCGTATCATATATCGTTATCATATATGGGAGAACATTAGCTTTACATTCATCCTATCATATATCGTTTCATTGCCACGGTTATAATCCCCTCCATGCATCATCAACCAACCAAAGTACACCTGACAAGCCTGTCCTCCGGTCGTCAGCACACAGCCCCTCTCCCTCTTGAAGGAGGTAATTTTATGTTAGTGTTGTTGTTATGTGCTGTTGAGTTGGTCCGATTTTTAGCGATCCTATATAGGGTTTCCAAGGAACGGCTGGTGAGTTTGAACCGCTGACCTTGTGGTTCAAACTAGCCTTGCAGTTAAGTGCTTATTGAACAGCGCTACACCAGCACTCTCTTTTATCTCAGTAGAACCAGTTTATTACATTAGTTTTCTTTCTTTTTATTATGTTGGTAAATGGAATGTAAAAATGGATAGATTTCTGACTTCTCCATTGGTATTTAGGTAAGTGTATGTAATGTCTTTATGACTAAACTAACACAGATTATGCGCATGTTATGTGAGCAGAAAAGAGGGACAAAGGTAGACGTGCCTTTTCTGGAACATAATTATAAAATTCCTTTTTCTGCCTTATAAGTAATTTTATTGAGAAGCGTAATCAGACCTATCTTTGCTTGTTGATATTTGGTGAATAGGCAGACTGTGTTAATAGGGAACTTTATGCCGTGTGGGGTCTGGAGTGGGTCTGTTGGTTTCACTGGGTTGATGTCCACGGTATGTATAATGCTTCAGAGGAGGAGGGGTACTGGTGTGTTAGCCCCCTGCCCCCCCATCCTTGGGACCTCTTTAGGCAAAGGATTGAGTTTACCGCTACAAATCCTTTCTCAACTATAAGAAATGTTTCCGGTTATGTGATTGTTAAGTGCCATCGAATCAGTTCTGACTCCCATTGACCCTATATAATGTTTCAGAGGAGCAGCTGGGGGGTTTGAACTACCAACCTTGCAGTTGACAGTCCAGTGCGTATTGTATAGTGCCATACCAGAACTTTCAGACATATCAATGGGAAAATCACTCTAATGTGGGGTATTATGGAAAACATAAATAATAAAAAATTTAAAAGTAGAGAAGAAAAAAATAGGACCACTCACTCGGAAGATTTGGCAATGAAGTTTTAGGTAAAGGGTGAGGGGTGGTGGTCCTCAGTGTTTCAGACTGGCAGGGCAGCGAGCGCTCTGGGTGAGAGGGGCCGTGGGCAGAACCTTGGGAATTGGGGGTGGGGCTGGAGAAGTGCTGACCCAGATCAATCCATGCCTTCCTCTAGTCCTCCTTGTCCTGCCCCTGAGGAC